AGGCGTGGAAGTGAGTGCGCGAGGTGGTTATAAAAGGCTTCTACCCCCCCAGGGACGAGGTATGCTAACTTTCGCGCTATCTGGTTATTCTTGCCTTTGAAGGATTCTAACTTGAGCTTCGGAGCCCTTACGCCGGGTTCTCCCCGGAGCTTCTCTTCTCCTCCCGTTTCAAGTCCCTGTTACTCAGTTCCGAGGCAAGATCATCGACAGCTAAGACCGGCCAGATTGTGCATCATCAGGTTTCGTGTTTCTTTTTCGGAGAAAAAGCATTTGTTTGGTAGCAACATTTTCTCATTCTACCCATTTCTATATATTTTTATCAATTCTAAAAATTTTATTATTAAAAATAATAAAGAGAAAAAATGAGAATTGACTCAAACTCTTTTTTTGGTATTTAGAGTTGACTCAAAACATGGCCTAGACTTTTGCAATGGGCAATTATCCTCTGAATTTGCCATGGTGGATTTGAATAATAGAATAATACAYGCAGAGACTCCCCTTTGAGAAGAATATGTGATCAACCCATGTTCAAGTAAAATGGAGGCCTTCCTCTTGAACACAAGAGCCTCCATTTCTAGCTGGAACACAGCTCAACTTGAATAGGGTTTTGGTCGACCACCAAAAACTCAGCCTGATCAGTGATCAGTAGTTTTTCGAGAAACAATACCAGCACGTTAATTTTGAAAAATGGAAGCTGAGGTTTGCTCCAAGTGTCATTCGATGAATTCAATCCGTTCGTTCCGGTGGTATGAAAGTACCCTCCAGCATATTCCACTAATTTCAACGAACTGTGTGCATTTGGAAATAAAATGGTTTCTCGAAAATCATGTAGTTTTGATGCTTAAATGTTACTGCAAAAAGGATAATTGGACCCTTGGACAGATATAATTTGAGTCACCAGGACACCCTATAGTAATGGTCTAGTTCTAACCATTCACTGATTTAATATTCAATTCTTTTGCAAATCAGACATATTGGGCCAGTTACAACTGCGTCTAACCATTGTAGTGCCTATTGATGATAGATCACCATTAGAGAGAGAGAGAGAATTTGGCAATTTTCCATAGAAAGGTAGGGATATGATTCTTGGGGAGTATTTTTTTTTTCTGGATTTTGAGAGGTGGAAAATTGGTTAATGGGATTTTGATTTTTATTGACCAAGAATCCCATGTTCTTTTTTAATTTAGATTTATGTGGGGACCGGGGAAATTTTATTTTCCTAGGTATCATTTATCCGGGTAAGTGATATCCATCTACTAGGTGGGTAAATAACTCTCACATAGGGAGAAATTGCCAACACTTGAATGAGACAAAAATACCCTTTTAATAATGGATTTTTAYGGTTAAAATGGTCATTACCTTATTTATATGAGAAATAAAAGAACACACGTAAATGCACTTAATCTGATAAATCTTTCCTATGAATAACTTAAGAGGATAAATGCATTTGCCAAGGTACATAACTAACTTACCAAAAAACAAATAGGGCCTTATTGATAGAGAAAGGTTGTTTCAATATTCTTTTCCTAGTTTGGATTCCCATTGGATTCTGTTCTCTCTCAAAGAGTTGGGGGCTTAATTAGTAATTTTCATATTGATGTTCCTTTCATGGAGGTTGAGTATTTGATTACAACCAGCATTATTGATACCAGACCAAAAGAGTATGGGCCTAAATCAGAAATTAAATCCCATACTTGATATTTCAGCTTTCGTTTTGGGTTTTCATGGAGGTTGAGTAATGAGTGGCTTCCATCCTAGTGAACAAAAGCGGATTACAGAACAAGCCATTAATTTGTCCCTACCATGAGTCTGGATCTTCTGCCCATAAGAACCCTGCCCACGTCTGCCCACAATTGGGAACATCTCCCCTGTATAATATTATAAAATGTTCTCCATGTATGACTGAAATAGATGTGGGCAGGGTTCTCGTGGGCAGGAGATCCAGACTCCCCTACCATTACCAATCAGGGCTTATCTACAAATTGAGCTTTACTCTTCAACCAACACACACTCTTTCTCCCTCTGTCTCTGTATGGAGCCCACCTGATCCTTCATTCTCACTGTCTATGCCTTGAGTCCCGATTCAAAGACCCACTACTGCCAGTTGGTTAATTCTTTTCATGTTCAAAAGTAGACGTTCTCATCCAAACCAGTGGCGTCTTTCTCAAACCACTGGTAGAACCGCCTCTGGTTTATATTAACAACTCCAAGACTTTGTGAGCCCATGTCCTTCACCTTTGATGCTTATATATACAACATCTTTTGCCGGAATTAATCCAAACCCAGATCGATCAACGAGCTTTCTTATAATCTTATTCTTGTTCAAATCCAAGATAAAGAGAAAACCAAAGATGAGTTCAACAAGTAGGGCATGGATTTCTGCAGCAAGCGTTGGAGTTGTCGAGGCAATGAAAGATCAGGGAATCTGTAGATGGAATTATGCTCTGAGATCGTTACACCAGCAAGCCAAGAACAATCTGGGGTTGTTCTCTCAGTCCAAGGGGGTCCTCTCTTCTTCTTCTTCCTCGTCAATGGCCACTAACAAGGCGATGCAAAACGAGCAGCAGAAGAAGCAATCTGAAGAGTCTCTCAGAAAAGTTATGTACCTAAGCTGCTGGGGTCCCAACTGATGAGAGGAAAGTTTTGTACAATTTTGGGCTAAAAATGAAGACAGAAAATTGGGAGTGAAGATTGAGAAGAATCCATTAGCTGGAAGAAAAGAGATATCACCATGAAGTGATATAATCTGTTCCCTCCCCCTCGATCGAGACTGAGAACGAAATATCTGAAGACCTTTGTGAAAATCAAACTGTATATCAGATGATCATCAATTGTACGCTTGTCTCAGCTGTATATACTTTCATGAGATTAATTCTTGAAATCAATCTCTACAATCATGGAGACATTGTTCCTCTGTGTTGCAATTTGGATATATCAGAGATCGAGGATTACGACCACCATTTAATCCCATCTAAGAAACTTTCCACCCAAGATTAAACCTGACAGAATTATTGCAGTTGGGTATTTATTAGAGTAGTTGTTTAATGTAGTGGTGGTCAAACTAACCTCTCGTTTTAGAGCCTGAGACCCATTAAATGATGGTTTCTTCAAGGTTTCAGGGCTTTTTCTATTCTGATTCCTTTTTTCTTCATTTTCGATTCCTTCAGGTGGGTCTGCTTCCAAGTGGGACTGAAGAAATATTATTGGAATAAATAGAAATCCATGTTGAATAAAATGTTACATCGAATAGAAAATTTGCTAAGGACATATACGATCGATCTACGTTGTTTTAATTCAATTTAAAATTTTTAAAGAATCTCCTTACTAACAGAGTCCAAGATTCCATTCCAAAATTCAAAAATGTAGTTTTGAGTAGATCAACATACAAGTATGATGGCATGTTATCCATACATAGGGGTGCAATTGAATTTAGCTTTAGTCCAAACTGCCGAGTCTCCAAATTGAGTAGGCTTGATTTGAGTTCGATTGATAACAACTTCGGTTCGAAAGCTTGAAACCATGGTTCGAACATTTGATTAATAAATAAATWAATTAATTAATTAATTATTTTTTGAACTCTAAGTTATTGAATATTTAATCAAATCGAACTTGAGGTAGAACATAGAATTCTAATCCAATTTTATTCTAGAACAACCGAACTGTTCGGTTATAACTAAGGTGGCATTCGGTAGCGTGTATGTATCGTGGTACGGTCCCATCCACGATAACATATGACRTTCTGTTATGTGTGGACGATCCCCATCCACAAAATAGTGTGGACAGGGACGGGTCACATCCCAATTTATCGTTTATAGTATTTTCTCATAGATGGACTACAGTATGGTGTCGATAGTTTGTGGAAAGGTTTCAGTGTAACGCATTTATGTTACATTAGTCCAATTACTCTCATTTTATTTAATCTTTTAATAATTTTTAAATTTTTAATTTTTAATATTTTCTCAATAAAATAATAGTTTTTAATGTTAATTCTAACACAAGTCTAACAGTTTTCCTTCTCAACTCTTTTTTCATTATTTAAATATTATTTTTTTAATATTTTATCAATAAAATATTTTTTTTAATATTTAAAATAATAATTTTTAATTATTTAAAAAAATGCATTTGTTGTCTACATATTGATGCCTTTCTTTTCAATTTATTTACTATATAAAATGTAAAAATTAGACATTTATGATCGACTATATAGATCTCCCATAAAATGTATATGAGATACATGGAATTAAAAAGTGTAGTACACACCTATAGAATGCCACCGTGGGTGTGAATTGGTCCGATCTACACAATCTATCCACATTTTAAAACAGTTGTGGAATATGGTGTGGTGTGGATTGATTCCTGCCATAGGGTGTGGTGTTGATCAATCCACACCCACCAATTTTTCATCCACACTACAGAATACCCCTAAATTGACGTGCCAATACAAGTTGGCAAGTGGTTTAACCTAAATTTGTATATACGTATCAGTTCACATGAGAATAATTACATTTTTCTTCCATTTCCTTCTGAGCTCTGTTATGTTTGTCAAATTTGAACGCAGTAGTATTTTTGTCGAACCAAGTATAGCCCGATTACACCCTACTACTTTTCAATGCAAAGAGCGCTGTCTTTACTCTGTACTATTCTTTTGGAAGATAAATTCGGTTTTCATGGACGTGAGTGGCTCCAATTATATTGGACACAAACAGAATTTCATGGAAACCAGGCGCTGCAGGACGATATATACCAGTACAAAACCAGGGTCCACCACCATCTACCTGCTCGTGAGTAGTAATCATCACTCTTGAAGCTCCTGTTCAGGTTCTTCCCCTCTGGCTCAAGGATCTAAAGCTGGAGCCCATATCTCTTTCTTTATTCTGGGTTGTCTGGTTTCGTGGTGGGCCTTCTTCAGAAACAAGTAGCGTCTTTCCCAAACCACCAGCAAAATCGCCTCTGGTTTTCTTAATAATTGTCGTGGTTGTTGAACTCACATACTTCACTTTTTTGTATTTATATATCAAGTAGAATTGAGATCGAAACTCATATCAACAAGGTTTTCCTTCTTCAATGCCAAGAGAGTAGACCCAAACGAACAATTTGAAAGAATTACAGATGAGTTCTACGAGCAGAGCATGGATTGTGGCGGCCAGCGTTGGAGCAGTTGAGGCACTGAAAGACCAAGGCATCTGTAGATGGAATTACACTCTCAGGTGTCTCCACCAGCACGCCAAGAACAATATCCCATCGTTCTCTCAAGCTGCCAGGAACATCTCTTCCTCTTCTTCAGCCATGGCAATGGCGAGTAGGAAGGCCATGAGAGACCAGCAGCAGCAGATGAAGCAATCTGAAGAGTCGCTGAGAAAAGTTATGTACTTGAGTTGCTGGGGTCCCAATTGATGAAGTCGTTTAATTTACTCAAAGCAATGTAGAAAATGTATATATGATAATTCTCTTACATCAATACAAGCACAGGATCCTAATCTCAGTATCTTCAAAGGTTTTCTGAATTGCCTTCTATTTATTTCATTAGAAAAATCATGAGGATGCCTAGCTCAACTTCAAAATTTTCTAAATTACTGATTAGTCTTGATGATCATGGAGGCGTGTGTCATTCTGTTGCAATTTGATCGGAGAGGGACAGACTGAAATGGTCTGGAAGAAAGTCTGTACATAGAAGTAGAGTTTGGCTGGAGGAAATATTGCTGATTTCTGGTAACGCATTTGGTGATCTCTTTTTCTCCTAAATTCCATGTTCTGGGTGTTTCTGAAAGCACCAGAAGATAGTTTCCTAGAATTGGAAAGAGTTTCTTGACAAGTCTTACAGATCACAGATGTAGCATGTACCAATGATGTATAAACACCAAACCAAAGAGTGTTTTCTYTGAAGTTTAGAAGTGAAAATATTCAAATCAAACCTGTTTTCTAAGGAAAAACATCAAAATCCTTGGGTGATTTTAGGAACACTTGAAAAAGATGGTAATTCCCGGGGAAATATGTTTGGAGAGAGTTTATTTATGCTCCTTAATTTAAGGATTCATAAGATCGATCAAACGGACCAACCTGACCCGACTTGACCCGAGGTGGTCAGTTTTTAACTATTTTCGGTAAGYTCTGTTCATGAATTATGCTAACCTAAGAGGTCAGGTTGGTTTTAGTTTGAATGTATGTAAAACGACAAAAACTATCTTACCTGATTATAGATATATATTAATATTTTATATTTTAAATTTAAAATTTTTAATATGGAAAAGTGGGAAATTTTTCATATTTTTTTTCTAGTTTAAAATATTTTATATTTTAAATTCATTTTTGTTAAAATCAATTTTTAATAATAGTGCTGCAATTATTAATTTTCTTGTTTTAAATTTATCCAATCAAGCCATGTTTTTTCTAGTTTAACAAATTACTCCTAGATTGTCTTTTGAACCAATCGACTAAACTGATAAGTTGACCAAAACCGATACGATCCAAGTTGGTCAGTTTTCACTAATGATCAATAAGTTTTGAGTGGCCAATTCCACAACTTATCAAGTTGATTTGGTTGATCAAATAGCCTACAGCCGAACTGAACCAACCCGTAAATATCTCTAGAAGCATTTTTTAGGCTATGTTTGGTTTAAATGAAAAGATAGGGAAAAGAAGAAAAGTTAGGAAAACCTATACAAGATTTGTGGAAGTTTCCCTAACTTTCCTTTCCTTTCCCTACCTTTTCCTTCAAACCAAACATAACATTAAGTTTAAGCCACTCATTGGATAAAAAAAAAAAAAAAAAAAAACTATCTATCAAGCCATAATAAATGTGGTTAATACATGTCCATCCACGGGGGTGTTTTTGAAGGATACTTTTATCATTAAGTCAAGGATTGAAATAAAAAAAGGAATTAGAGAGGCTTCCTCTTACCAAACATATACCCTAAATATGGTTGAGAGATCTGAAATAAGAGCTGATGTGAACCTCAGCTGAAATATAAGACATTTAGGCCCTATTTGGTTCGTGGAAATAGGGGTCTGGAATCAGAATCGGAATGGGCTATTTTGATTCTAACTGTTTGGTTGGACAGAATTGGAATTTCATTCCCATTCCTAATGGAATGGCATTCTCCCATTTGAGGGAATGGGCATTCCCTCCCCTCTCCCTTGGGAATGAAATTTCATTCTGTTGATTTCAATTTCATTTTTTATCCTGTCCTAACCAAACAGACTATGGGAATAAATTATTTTGATTCCGATTCTAATTACAAACCAAAGGAACCCTTAGCTCAGACTCAAAACTTTATATACAAATATACAAGAGAGGATCAAGGCTACTATTCCTATCTATCTAGAAGAGTATTTATGGGAAGATTAAGCTTGAGGGTTATTGCAAGGTAGTTTAATGTATTTATGTGGACCTTTATGCATTACAAGTGTAGGTAGAATTAATCTATGCAAAATATAGAAGAGAATTGGGTGTTGAACTCTATCTTTGTTCTTTAGGATACTCTATTTTTTCCTTTTTTTACTTTATTTAGAAAAAATTGAAGTAACAAAAGACGTTAAGAACCCATTGTCATTAATTGAAATGTACATTAATTATCTATTATTTATTTTAGTATTGACTCAATACTCTATTTATTAAATTAGAAAGTTTATTTAAGATAAAAGCTAAATACAAAAATAAAGAAAAATGGATTCATGGATATGTGTCTAGAAATGTATAAACTATTGATGTAGTCCATATTAGTTAGGCCTAAAGACTACAATTTTTCAGATGTGAACTCAGATTTCATTGGATGTTGCAACTCTTGTGGTCGCTTTGCCTCCTTAGTGAAAGGAGAAGGCCACCAACGGGTAGAACTGTATGGGGTTGAATAGAAATTTGGGTATGTTTAGATTGGAAAATTTAGGTTTTGAGATCAATTTGGTTCCAGGCCAAGGTTCTTGTTTAAGGTTGGTTTAGGTTTGGCRTTTAATCATAGTTCAAAATATTGATACACTCCTGTGTATTGGTAGGGATGTATCGGTACTTAAAATAATACATGTTTATATGTTTTTTTATTTTTTTTTCAAAATTTGGTTTTTAGACATATTTTTAACTATATTTTTTATTAAAAAGATTGTGGTTCCTGAAACCTCGATAAATAGGCGTATCGTGAAGCACCCGATATGGGGCATATCATATCGAAATTTTGAACCTTACCCTTAACCCCACCCAACCCTTGTAATTTGTAACAATGTTTTATTAGAAAGTGTCAAAAGAGTTTAAAAGATATTTAGGGAGCGTTCTTTTTTTGGATTTTGAGATGGGGGAAAGTTGGTTAATGGGATTTTAGTTCCCATTGACCAAGAATCCCATGTTCTTTTTTCAGATTTATGTGGGGATCAAGGAAAGTTTATTTTCCCGGGTAAGTGATACCCATATTAGGTGTGTAAATAACTTTCCTACCTAGGGTGAAAGTTGCCAATACTTGAATGGGACAAAAATGTCCCTTTTAATAATGGATTTTTACGATTAAAATGGTCATTCCTTATTTACATGAGAAATAAAAAAAACATGGGTAAATGTACTTACCCGGGTAAGTGTTTTCCAAGAAAAAAACTTATCTAGATAATTAACTGCATTTACCTGGATAAATAACTTACCGAAAAGCGAAYGGAGCTTTAATGAGAAATAAGAGATTTAATGGGRAAGGGGGAGGAAATGTTACAAACATTGAATATGAAAATAAGGGGGATTGGAGAGAATTAAGAATGATTTTATTACATAAAACTACTAATGATAGATTTTAATGGAGAAAATTAAGATATAAGAAGAGTTTCAACATGTGTGAAGAAAGAGAGAAGAGGGAGGCCTTTGGTTCGAGACCCTAGGCCTCTACACACTTCTCTTTCCACTATATTTCTGGATATAGATTTTGAGAAGGAGCTATTGATATTAGTGAAATTTTGTAAATTTTGGTTCAGACATTAAAACTATGTTTAATGTAGGCCGTGCCTAGGCTTAAGATGATAAATTGGGGAGGGCCATGCTCATGGATTAGCATGAAATTTTTTAAAGGAAAAAATTAAAAGAATACAGTAAGACAAGACTTACAGATAAACATGGCTGGGTCCATGTTCTCTCATTCTGCTGTACTGTATGTACGATGT